GACAACATGCAACTTCCTATGTAATACCGATACGGTAGCGCTCCCCACCCTCAAGTCGAAACTGCACACACACACACACACACACACACACACACACACACACCTGACACGGCACTGTTTCTCACACACACAAATGTCTCACCGCAGTCGTAACAACCGGCTCTATCACAGTTTTAATAACGTTCATTTCAACCTGTATCATAGTATCACGTTTTCCCTAACCCTTATTATACTATTATAAAAGAATCACAATCGGGACTATTTTCACCGCCGTTTACATTTTTCTGTAAACATTAATTTAGTTTTTTCATATCTTCTCTGACACTCGTCTGGGTTTCTGACGTTCAATGGACACAATCTGTGTGTCGCGACTGGTTTTCAAGATATTTTATCAATATTCAGTCATATCTGATATGTGTCGTTAACTCTGCGTTTCATGTCACACAGTTCCTTTATTAATGTTTCGGAATTTTGGAGTCTTCTTTCATGATTTCAAAAAATAAAGTCTAAAAATGAAAATGTCTAATACACAGTCACTTCAATGTTCCAATTACGTAGTTCGGTTTGCATGATCACTGGATTGCCTGGTTCAGGCTTGATTATTTACAGAACGCCGCCTTACAGCTGGAATGCGCAAAGTCCTAACAAAAGAAGCCACTGCCACCCTTGTGCGGACACTGATTTTATCCCGCCTGGATTACTGCAACAGTTTACTGTTTGGCATCTCTTCGTCTCAACTCCATCGTCTTCAGAAAATCCAGAACAAAGCTGCACGCATCATCACTCTCACCAGTCCTGGCTGTCACATCTCTCCCATTCTAAACTCTCTACACTGGCTCCGTATTCGTGAAAGGATTGATTTCAAGATTCTCTGCCTCACCTATCAGTCTTTCTACAACTCAGGACCTTCCTACCTTCAAGACCTTCTGACACATTACTCTCCAGAAAGAACTCTGCGCTCATCACAACAACTGTTACTTGCTGTCCCGAGCTACAATCTCAAATCATTTGGCTCAAGAACCTTTTCATATGCAGCAGCTTCTCTGTGGAACTCTCTCCCAATCGAGTTAAAATCATCTCCTTCCCTAAGTACATTTAAAACACGACTAAAGACTCATCTATTTCTCCGCTACAAGTGACTTCCAATCATCCGTACCTGCCAGCTGTATATAGTTTTAACTTGAGTTCAGGAAGCGCTTTGAGCATATCCCTGTGACGTGGAAAGGCGCTATATAAATGGCCTATTATTATTATTATTATTATTAATATTGCTGAGAACGGTGTAAAACAACAAAAGTAAAAATAAATAAATAAACATTGTCCTTGTATGCCACCGTACTATTGTAACCTTCATGGAAACAGTGCTAACATTTAGTTTGAAAATACTCTGCATTTCCATTCCGCAGAGGCCCAGATAAGCTGCGTATCCGGGTAAAATACGCATGGAAAATTTCCAATTACGCATTGAAAAATAATTGTTGCGTACCAATTACGCATTTAAAATGTTACATACGCAAAAAGTTTAAAACAAATGCGTACGGAATATATTTATAAAAATCGCTTGCGTAATGAAAAAGACATCGATTGCTATCAAGTTGTACTGATAGTATAGGACTAGTGTTGTACTGTCAGTATAGGATGAGTGATTTGTTTTATGAAATCATTTCCAATATATTTAAGTTGGTTTTGATTAGGTATGACATAAGGCAGAACATACCTGCTTAGTAAACTTACTCAATGACATAATACTTAGGTGAGTAAAATGACCGAAATATGCACATATTTGAAAGCTGTGGGTAATGGAAAATGAAATACCCACTCAACATTCATAATACCCACTCCAAAAAAATACAGTGGGTACAGTACCAACTTGAGCTAAATCTCATCTGGAGCTCTGCATTCCCAAAACTAGGACAAACAAGTACAGACGAGCCATGGTGAACAGAGACAAGGAGCTGTCGCCTGGCTAGCTATCAGGTAGAGGGCCAAGTTGAAACATTCTTCAACATAAACAAATATATGACGTCACGGCAGTAGCTGTGCCTCGTTCTGGCGCACGGTGTCAAGGTCATAGGTTATTACACCTAATAACGATTTCATAAACCATTACTATATAAAAAGTAATACATTAAACAGAACAGCAGCAGCTCAGCGTAATGGTTCTTGGTGTGTTGGGCGATGAACGGGTCGAGATGATAAGGCGGTAATGTTCGTAGCCAATAATTCCCTGCAGCCCACTTCCGCTTCTCAAATTCTGGGAACATTATGAAGTAATTTGTGGTCGGTTAGGTAAAAATAATGGTCTTGAAACAACATGGCCGGGCTACTTGTACGAGATGCATTCGTTTGTCACCAGTTCACTCCGCACACATCGGCCTGATCCGGTCTCCTATTTTGTGACAACTCGTGTCATTCCGGGACAAGCCGAATGGTGGCGAATGTTTTCTTTTCACTGGTTCTCTGTTGCTGTTTCGTCCTGCGCAGTTAGGTAGGTGAATGTCTTTTCGCAACAAGCGACAATCCCTGTCTCTCCTGGTATCAAACCCGGGTACACAATCATCGGACGGTTTTCGCGATGTCATTAGCTGGAGTGAAATCACCTACTCTGAAGTTTCTCCAGGACAGTCCTAACTCTGACACCCAACAGTTCCTGGTAGCGTAGTGTGTCTGTGTCTACAATCCTTTTTCGCGTTTGGCAGTCATACCAACTATCTGGGCATGACCGGAAGTGATGTATTATGGCTACATCCGGTGGAATGACGTATCTGGAAGAAGACAAACCGGTATTATACATCTAAAGATCAACATGGACGAGTGAGGTTTACGCCAGTTTCAGCAATATTTTAGCAATATTACATTTGGTAAAGCAGAAACTGGCGCCACACGTACGTAAGTGGGGAATCAAACCGGGCCATTGGACGTGACGAGCAAGCACTTGACTAACCCACCGCCAGTGAAGAAAGATACTTTCAATGCCAGAAAATTAATGACTACCATTATTGGTCAGAGAGTACACTATTCCAGCAGCAAACTAAACAAGCTGCTCTCCTGAAGTTAAGTTGTTGAGTTGAGTTTTACGTCACATCGGCATTATTCCAGCCATATCCTGAAGTTAAGAATTAATATGACCGAGAATCAATATGACCAATGGATATGAACAAAATAACCCGAGTGTGTTGGGCTTAGGGACGCTTTGTGTATGACCCTAATATACTAAGGCAAATAACAGGGCGAACGCGTATTCAGGACAAAAGTCATTCTAGAAGGTACCAGAGTTGATCAGCTATTGGTGATCGAGTCAGACACGGCACAAAGTACCCAGTGGTGACACTGAATTCAGTGGTAGGTTGTGAATGATGTCTGTCAGACTGCCTCAGTTGTGAAGTGGACACACCGGTGCCCAGATTTGATCTCTGTCCGCGTGATATACTTTGAAAGATGGAACATGTTACCCCGTCTCGTCCGCGGCATTAACTGGACTAAAACAAGGTTCGGTCTTAGTCGTGTACCTTGTGTAGCCACAATAAACTGCACCATGGTGTCTGTGGGTTAGCACTACAACACCAGGGAAATAGTCCGCATACACGCACGCACATACGCCATACTAAGTACTACGCTAAATGTCCAATACCTCCCACTTATTCCAATGTTTGCAAGCGTTAGAAATTAGCAAGTATATCTGTAACCGGAAGTTGCTTGTTAGTACTCATCCTATCACACGTACGTTGTGTACTCTGACTTTACGAACACTTCGTGCGTACGACCGTAGCTTGTACGGTCAGGAATGTAGACAAATTTCTGCGACTCCCATCGGGGGGGATCTGTCTGTAGGAAGCGCATCGTCGTCAGTGTATTATTAGGATGAGACGGATCCCAGTCAGTGATGTGAAACTGTTGATAGAAGTAGTATGCGCCTGCGTCAGGATGCTGTTTTGACAGGGAGTTCTGAAATAAAGCATATTTGTCAGTAGCTGTGAGTAACTTTTTTATTTAATGCAACCACAGTACAGATGACATGAGATGGAGTTTTGCCGGGTTAAAAAGCTAACAAAAGCATACAAAAAGCTTGTCTCATGAATCTATGTCAGAGTAGTTTGAGAAAGATGTGAGATTGTGAGTATTGTTTCACATCGCGTTGAACAGTATATTAGTGAAGATCCAACCCATGCTTGTCTCCACCCGTGAAGATCCGGGTTAGAATTGGTCTTCAGCAACCCATGCTTGTCCTATGAGACGACTAACGGGATCGGCTGGTCAGACTCGCTGACTTGGTTGACACATGTCATCGGTTCCCAATTTCGTAGATCGATGCTCATGATGTCAATCACTGGTCTGGTCCTGACACAGTTGTTTACAGACCGCCCCCATATAGCTGGAAAACTGCCTCGTTCGTCGTTATACAAAAAACAATCCAATATAAAGAAGGCTGTTATAATGACACGGAAACTGTCCTTATTTACAAGAACTCGGTAGTTTAAATCTCGACGTTTGCCCTCGTTTGCTAGGTTTTCAGAAGTCTTCTGGGATTATTACATCCAACAAGTCGACTCGCCACTGCAAAATCCATAACTCAAGTCCACGTCCTTAGTACGCTATACAGCAAAACCTCTGTTGTAGTTTCATTATTTGTTTCAGAAGATACATGAAAATTCTATACTTTTTGGACGTATTTTATGCACGTAACTATCATTTATGCCGGATGGCGTCTCGTACCCCTCTCGTGGCCACGGCTTTTCTGTCCGCAAACGGGCATGGAATGAAAATACTATGATTACCAAGGAAAGATAACTCTGAATTCCCAAATATCCCTTGAATTCCTTCCCGTGGGTAACGATTCAGTCATTCCTTTTGTAAGACATCTTTTACCTTCCTTTAACAAAAGTTTATGGTTAAATTTAGAGTCTGTCCCGACCTTGGTACAATGTTTCGTCAAATGGTCACTACGCCAGCCATTGGTTTGACCATATCCCGAATGGCGTCTAGGGTACGACTTCTTGCAGTCAAAATGATGGAGAGAATTCATTTATGTATCGAAACAGCTTTTCTTTCTTAAAAACACTGAGGAATGTCTGTAAAATATCGATTCCTATAGTAACGATTCGGAACATCCTACCTAACTCTTGATCGCCTATAAATGACAGATACAACAGGATACACTTTAGAGAACACAACAGAACAGACACGTTAGAGAACACAACAAAAAGAAAAAAAGGACACGTTAGAGAAACAACAAAACAGACACTTTAGAGAACACAACACAACGGACACGTTAGGAGAACACAACACAACAGATACGTTAGAGGACACAACAAAACGGACACGTTAGAGGACACAACAACACGGACACGTTAGAAGACACACACAACAAAACAGACACTTTAGAGGACACAACGAAACGGACACGTTAGAGAACACAACAAAACAGACACTTTAGAGGACACAACAAAACAGACACGTTAGAGAACACAACAAAACAGACACTTTAGAGGACACAACAAAACGGACACGTTAGAGAACACAACAAAACGGACACGTTAGAGAACACAACAAAACAGACACTTTAGAGGACACAACAAAACGGACACGTTAGAGAACACTACAAAACAGACACTTTAGAGGACACAACAAAACGGACACGTTAGAGAACACAACAAAACAGGAGACACACCTATTTTAGCCATGTCTGGTTCAGTACGAATATAATTATATTTCACTAATAATGGTTCATGAATAAATAACAGTTGATAAGCAGAACAATATCTGTTATTAAGCAACACAATTAACCTTGGCCCTACACTCCATCGTGATACTGTGCTCAAAAGAGGCAATTATCCAACAATGCCGAGGATGGCGTATTGGCCCAAATACGATATAATCTCAATCATTGCAGTAAGGAACTATAATGTATTATGGCTTCAAAATGAGCTTTATCTAGGTCAGTGAAATGATAGATTGGGAGGCAGTTAAATGTTACACAAATCTGCAGTAGCCTTAAAGGAAGTCATCGAGCAATAAGGAAATACTTGACTTATAAAGGAACACGTGATTCTATAATACGCACACACACACACACACACACACACACACACACAGAGGCAGAGAGAGCGAAGGGTTGGGGGAGAATAGCCTTTTTGTTTACAATACCAGTGTCAAAACTACCGGTTGGAAATATGTGTAGAGGCAACACTGAAATATAAATTAGGTACAAATGTAATTAAGCCTCCTTGTGGGATAAGGCGTGCAGTGAGCAGAGGGCGACACCATAGGGTCCGTTAGTACTTCGCGAGACCTTAGTACTTCGGGTGACAAACAACGTTTTATACCTTTTCGAATGGTCTCATGGTTGTCAGTTGACAGTAAGGAACCGATAACCCTTGCAGGAATAACACATTTCCGATCTAACCATCCCCAAAGTAGCCATCTATTACGACTGTCAGCAGCTGTGACAGCCACGCATGGTTGTACACTTGGTTCAGTCTAGTAAAGGCATATTTGGCGGTCGCGTAATTTGGAACCAGAACTGGTTCTTGAATATACGCGTGTCACCGGAAATCTGGTACCGGAAGTAAGCTGGGTCCCGTCTCGCATATCGCAAGTTGGCGCGCTCCAAGGGAACCGGAAACCTGCTTAGTACCGGAAGTAGCGAAGCGAGACTTACAGGCTTACAGTCTCCAATATCACCTGGTATAACTCACCTGGAAGTTGGTACGGCACTATAGTCAGCAGTCCCTGCTTGACATAGAAATCCAACACCATCTGCACATCGCGAGTAACATCCAGAGTGAATATCAACACCATGTCTACCCCCATGATTCTCTGGAACTCGAACCACTCCACAAGACGTTCTGGCTTCAGGGTGTGGCTGTAGGCGATCTTCCCACACACTGCCAGCTGCCCTGCACGTTCTGCCGCGTGCACAATAGTCTGGTACTGGTCTGGGTCCGTGCTGCACGTGCTTGATGACAACGATACGTGGGTGGCGCCATCTGGTGGTGAAACTAGAGGGCAGGATATTTGCCGTGCTGGATATGGGGCTGTGTAGAAGAGTTCGGTCAAAGTACTCAAGTACATATAGTGGTGAAACTGTCTCAGCGTAGAAGCCCAGGTGACATGTAACTTCCGGCCATCTTCCAAAACACAGCAGACGAGCCTGGCGTTACTTCCGTCGAAGGCATTCACGACAACAACTGGGTTAGCAGGATCTGATTGGTCAGCAGGAATGACGGCGGACAGGATGTACGTCTTTTGATTGGCTACTTTGAGTAGGGCGGAGTGATTTGCACGAGGTAAGGTGATCCGGGTATTCAGATGCCAATTCATATCCGGTTGCAGCTCAACCGGAACACCGCCCTGGAAGAAGAAAACATAAACAATGTCACAGGGTGGAAGCGCTGTCTGCATGAAATGTGGAGTTGCCCCAAAAGCAACTCCATTTCCTCGCTGGACAGTGAAAGAAAGACACGTGACGCATGAGTAAAGGTAGGTTTTTCCTCGCATTTTCATTATTTTGCAAGTATATCAGGTTTTGCCATTTGGCAGAAGGATCTAGAAAGTTACAGATCTTTCTGTAATTGCTTGACACCCTCCATATTTATTGCAATTGCGCGTTAAGCAAGGGCACCCTCCTGAGTATCGGAACAAGATCGCGGAAAATGATCGTTTCAACACGAAATATGACATCCTCATCAGCAGACACACGTTTTTTTTGCTGTCAATTCTTAGATATAGTGATTTTAGGTCTTCATTCTCAGTTTAGGCTTCAATGCGTCAGTAGTTTTTCAACGATCGTCGAAAAATCAATGTGTACATTTTATATGGAGTTGTTCACGTTTAGCAAACAAACTGTCCATTGCGTTGCGAGTTTACTGTCCAGGAGTTCACAGTTTATAGTTTTAACCGTCATGTCATCAAACGTTATTCTCGAGATACTGCCTACCTGGCGTATGTATTACAATTTTTTATCTTCAAGTACGATTGTACACCCTCACTCCAGTTTGTACCATGTCTGGGATTTACTGGATGCAAACCTATAAAAACACATATTAATTTGTTTTAAAAAAACATGCATTCGTTTCACTTCAGCTTTACTTGCCAGCGTAAAGGAAACACGACATGAAAACGAAACTAAACAAGAGTGACCTCCCTTTCAAGTCACTTTCGCGCGTACAACCGAAAATTAATTTATTCAAAATCGTGACCGTAATGTATGTTCATTGATGATAGATATAGATCAAGTACTTCGGTAGATGTCGTGAAAATACACAGTAATCTCATTTGCTGATTTTTCCGGTCTTTATCGTCCTATTAATCCGGTTTCTACCCATCTTATCCGATTGCTTCCCAACCAGTGGCATCATGGCGGAGCGTTCATCGGGCTCATATGGGCCATAGGATTCAAACATTTACAAAATCATGTACGATCAGAAGTGTATTAACAAATATACAAATATACATCTACCCCAGGAGTAACCAAGACCAGGTTATTCCAAAGTATGTACATTGTTCATACTATCATTCAGATATTAGCATTGCACATTCGGGTAAAGCACATCACTAAGCATCTGAAAACCAAGGGACATCTAACCGATGTTGAATGTGCGAAATCAAATACAATAATGACTTCCTTTGTTCCCACCGGTGGCACCAACAGCGATATGGACAAGTCAATAGCAGTTGTAAAAAAAAATAAAGGAGAAATCCAAATGACACAATTTAATGAGAAAATGAACTTGCCGATCTTATTTGCAGACCTCCTTACGAAGACAGCCAAAACTATGTTGAACTTGATTGATAAACACCATTCTGGAATTCAGGAATGTGTCAAATTTTCTTTCTTATAAAATAAGATTGTACACTTTTGACACTTCAAAATACACTTTCAAACCACCATGAATACGCTTTGCAGACAAAGGGGGTAGACATAGTCTGTGGTTAATAAATGCATTAGTTTGATATGTTTAAGGTTTCAGGAAATGAATTTCGAAGTTGAACCACTGGACGAGTCGCATATATCCTTCAATACCAGTCGTGTGTTGTCAAGCAAACCGGAAAAAACGAAGAAACAGGATGGAGACCGAGTCAAAACATTGACTTCACAATAGTCTCGTTTCCTGCTGACTTAGGTCCGTCCTGTTGCACAACTTAGTACAATAACCAGTTCAGAATTTTGAGACCAACTCATTCAACTGGATGTATAAATATTAATCAGTATCATTAATTTGATACATCTAATCACTTGTATATTGGACACTACTCTCCTTCTAATCCGTACTCTGTCGTACAACGTGCTCTGACAAACGGAAATCTGGAAATCGTGGAAATCTCAAAACGAGGTTCACCTGCGAGAAACGTTTGGCGGTCTTGTACGGACTTGATATTATATCAATCACATTGTGCGTTACCAAAATACACTTAATACGCGCAAAGAACACATAACAGATGTAACCAGTGAGCCAGATAAATTATGAAACATTTTTACGACCTCGTGAAACAGGGGCAGTCTGTGACGTCTTAGTTAACGTCATGCTGCCTAAACCTAGACATAAAATATAGAAATACGATTTTATTAAAGTTCATTTGTAAATACGAATTTCTTATGAAACAAGGAATTGGAATTTAGTGTAACCGTAGCTGTCTGTAGTGTCTCTTTTCACTTTCACACGAGAAAATTCAGATCGGCTGGAAAGTAGGTCATTGTCCGAATTGGTTCATGAGATTCATGTTTCGGTTTGACCGCTGCCACATCTGCGGCAAGTTCTACAAGTCTCAAGTGGCCTCAAACTGCACGTTAAGGGGATCCTTCACAACAACTACCGTTTCCATTGCCAAGTCTGTGGAAAAGGGTATAAAAAACTGTGGGATTTCAACAGTTGCTGCTCTACAATCCATGCAACTACATCATACTTCAACGTAAACATTCAAAGCAATGGACAGTTTCAAAACAACTCCCTGTAAAATGTACAGTTTGATTTTTCGACGATAACTGAAAAATTGCCGATGCATTAAAGCCTAAACTGTGAATGAAGACCTAAAATCTCTATTTCTAAGAACTGACAGCAAAAAAAGGCGTGTCTGCTGATGAGGATGTCATATTTCGTGTTGAAACGATCATTTTCTTTCGACACTCAAGAGGGTGCCCTCGCCTAACGCTCAATTGTAATAAATGTAGAGTGTGTCAAGCTATTACAGAAAGATCTCTAAGTTTCTAGATCCTTCTGCCAAATGGCAAAACCTGATATACTTGCAAAATAATGAAAATGCGAAGGAAAACTTACCATAACTCTAGCGCCACGTGTCCTTCTTTCACTGTCCGGCGAGGAAATGGAGTTGCTTTTGGGGCAACTCCACATTTCGTGTTGACAGCGCTTCCACCCTGTGAATGTAGTCCAACACTGTTCCCCAAGGGTAATCTTGGGTCTGGCAGGGGAGGGTAGCGGGTACCTCTAAAGTCCTCTCGGACGGACGACGGACCATTTTGAACACTCACGGGGGTCGGACTGGTCCAAACTAACCAAACTTGATCATACGGCGCGACTTAAGTGGAAAGGGCCATCGGGCCTAGCGTCGTGGCTGACGGTTTGTCGTGGATGCTCCTGATATCGACTAGTTATTTGACTTGATTATATAAAGGCCGACCGGATACGGATATAGAGCATTTAACAACTCTCACCCACTCACTCACTCACTCTGCCTAGAAGGAAAGGTTCGGTTCAAACATGAAGACATACATATTTTAAATGGATATATTCTATAACCCACCTGGACGCTAAGAATGTCCCTAACACATGTTCAGCAGTTTTGCACAAGCGTTAAGCATTCAGCATGTTTGAGACCCGTGAAGATCCGGGTTAGAATTGACCTTCAGTTACCCATGCTCGTAAGAGGCGACTAACGGGATCGGGTGGTCAGGCTCGCTGACTTGGTTGACACACGCCATCGTATCCCAATCGCGTAGATCGATGCTCATGATGTTGATCACTGAATTGTTTGGTCCAGACTCGATTATTTACAAATCGCCGCCATTATAGCTGGAATATTGCTGGGTGCGTCGTTAATCAGGAAACAAACAAACAAATCGGCATGTTTGACGATTTTAACAATCGTTACTGACCGAATTCGACCCTATATAAATGAAGTGAGATTGTGCAGATAAGCTGTTACAGGACTGACTGACTGAGTTTGGTTTTACGCCGCTTTTAGCAATACTCCAGCAACATCACGGCGGGGGGACACCAGAAATGGGCTTCACACATTGTACCCATGTGGGGATTCGAACCCGGGTCTTCGGCGTGACGAGCCAACGCTTTAACCATTAGGCTACCCCACCGCCCCAGCTGTCACAGGAAACTCCAACAGCAGAACATGTCATTGTGTACTCCACCATCGCTTACACGCGTTGGTCGTTGACCGAGTGATAATTTCAGCTTGTTGATAGTCGTAATGGCACGTTTCACTCACTTAGCGTGTGTCACATTTGACATTTCAGATTACGACTATGTCCTGCATTAACAAACATACATTGCGCCACAGTGTGTTGCATTTTCTGTACATAGTGCAACACTGTGTCCTAGATAAACAAACAACAGTACAAAAGCGTCTCTTGCATGGAAAAACATTGCAGCAGTGTAACAAACGTCTATATAGTGTAACAGAGTGTCACAATGTTGTAACTTACAGTATTATATAAATAGTTAGGGCTTAAATAACATATAACTTCAATGTTACAACACTTATGACGTACCCTATGAATACACTGTGACGTACCCTATGAAGTACCGTGTGACGTACCTGAGTCAGCCATGAGTGAAGCAGCACGCACAGGAAGCAGAATGTAACGAGGACGGACGCTGTCCGACGTAACGTCAGACGCCGCGAGTTCGTCATACAGAAATATTTAGTCGTCATCTTGAAGCAAGACTACGTCAAATACCGAGTGGATCCTAGCCGAATCAGTGGTCCCAGCATCGCATAGCCCCGCCACAAGAAATGGTCTTTCTTGTCTTACATCATACATTCAGAACACACATACTAGCAGGACATGTTTGAAGAAAGGAAGAAAATAACAGTTTCTTGTTTTTCATCCACACGCTGTTCCTGACGTCACCGAGTAATTAGTGGTTGTCGCTGTGTGTCGTTCGCTTCCACTCAGCGGTAATCTGGAACAAAGGACGTTAATGTGAGATAGACACGTGACATGTTACTCCCGTGTTCCGCACAGCTACATCCTGCCTCCTCGACAGCAGCATGTGGGATCAGCAACGTAATGCATGATTTAATGAGCTAATGGAAATGGCCTTTCATTTTGTCTGGGTACCTCCGTTTTAGGCCATGATTAATTAATGATTAGATTTTCATTTCGCCCAGCTCAACCCTTGAAAACACGTCACAATGACAGGGTTGAGGTTCGATCATCACATTAAATATAAAACTTGTTGCTTCAATGACTGACGTGTCGCTTTAAATGGACTAAACAAGGTCTGGTCGGAGTCACTATACTGTGGCTGAAACTGTGACGTAATACATGACAATGCCAGTACTTTGAAATCGACAAAAGTCCTTACTAACATCTAGTCTCTGAAATAAACATATTTTACAGAATAAATAATAATAAAATAAAATAATAACTTCCATAGGCTTTCTTGGATATATTTGTTTCAGGGTCTGTATGACAGTCTAAGCCGCACACAGCGAACTAGACTAACAACTAGTCTCTGAAATGAACATATTTTACTGAAAAAAGTTCATAGTAAAAAAATATAAAATATAATGAAAAGGAGCCCTGAGACTTTCTTCATTTTCAGAAGCTGAGGAAATCTAGACTTGCCACATTTTCTAGACTTGTGTGGGCTTTCTTTGATATATTTGCTTCAGGGTCTGTACGACAGACTAACAGCGCACGTACATGCACGTTGCCGCGTAAATAAAATAAAATTAAAAGCGAGGTAAATATCAAGTTGACATGAGCTCAATTTGTTCTAAGTATCTCTATCGTCTCTTCACTCCAACAGATGTATCATAGAGTGTTGACGAAGTGTCTGCACAACACATTATCAAAAAGAACAAACACAAGCACAATCTCACCACAAAAAAGTAACAGTATTTCCAAACTTTAACCATGTGAGGAAACAAACGTATCATCCGAGGCCCGTATGACCAACGTTGAAAATGTATGTGTCATTTGGCCGCTAAATTTCCATTTGTTTGGCAAGTCATGAAATAATAGATCGTTTGGGAGACTATGAACACATGTGACAAAGGTGTGTACATATTGCTGTCTTGTGTTTATGACGTCTGAAATAACTGTAAATGCTGTTCATTTATGACACATGTTTAAATACCCTTGAAATCGTGTATGGCCAGGTTTAGATTTGGCCTACATTTCTTACCCTTCTAAACGATCGGTCATAGGTATATGAATTATTTCCATATTGGCAGAAATTAGCATCTATTTCAATGGTTCGGTTATATAACTACATCATATTACCAGCACTGGCTGCCTGTGGAGTCTGTCAACAAATTATCAGCTCGTTAAGTCGGACAATGGCTACTAGGTACACTAGCTAGGGCCAGCTAACTGATGTTAGACATGGGTGAGGTTCAGTCTTAGCTTATTGCAGTGGAGCGGATACACAGATAAAATGTGTATGCAAAGATAAAAGCATAAAATTGTGCACATTTATTAACTGATGCATAGCGAACATTTTAGGATACGGAGGCGCGTAAAATATTTGTATGTATTGTGCGCTTGCACAGAAGGCTTTGTTTGCTCCTTAACGTCGCAATCTACAATGTGACACCTAATGCACACCAATGTCAATCTTCATTGTGTCCAGTTGTTCTTTACCCTCCTTTACAACCCTGTATTTTAGTTGCCAATCGGGGCAGTGGGGTAGCCTAGCGGGTTCGAATCCCCACATGGGTACAATGTGTGAAGCCCATTTCTGGTGTCCCCCTCCGTGATGTTGCTGGAATATTGCTAAAAGCGGCGTAAAACCAAACTCAGTCAGTAGTTGCCAATCAAAGTTAAAACAGTACCCAATAAAACACTGTCATTAGGCTTTGCTCTGTCTACAAGACGTTCCTTTGTAGAGGTCTCAAACTGCTCTTTCAATACGGGTCCTTGTTCACATGCTGAGTGAGTGAGTGAGTTCGGTTGTACGCCGCTTGTAGCAATATTCCAGCAGTATCACGGCGAGGGACACCAGAAATGGGCTTCACACATTGTGCCCATGTGGGGAATCGAACCCGGATCTTCGGCGTGACGAGCGAACGCTTTAATCATTAGGTTACCCCACCGCCCCTCACATGCTGAGAAGGTGCCAAGCAAAGTGGAGTATAAATTTCAAAACTGCTCTACAACTCCCTGAACTGATATAAAAGACAGTACTGAAAAGTAACTTTTCTTGACATGGAAAGGCGAAGACTTTCCGGAAATACATGATGGCAAGGTATTGGCATGCATGACGCAGGGAGGTCCGGTCGCAACATCAGTGCTAAATGTAACATTAAACACATTGTTATTAGTCCACTTAACAGAAAGCACGAGTCCAAGTCCGGATGTCCAATGACCATGATGACAGGGTCCAAGTTCGTCCAGCAATGCAATGGAGAGTGGTAGTGTCTCAGGAACTCCATCTATACCATCAGAAGGGGGGCTGCTGGTCTGGTCTGAGGGTACGTTGTCCGATCAGACGTCCCTTGCTTAAAGATAGGCACAAACAGAAACGTTTGGTGTGGTACAAACTCTAACAAAAATGCAACTTGAGAAAATATCGTGTAGGGTTCATTGTTCTCATGAAAGTAGCTATCTTCTACACGTTACCGACGGCCGTTGTCGCGTATGCAGACGTTGTATCACAAGGAGATGGTCAATGCAGCTGTACCATTGTGGTGGCGCACTGATTGTGTGTGGGTGTGGCTGGAAGTCGGATTTCATTACAGTACCTGCGGCACACAATGGTCAGTGTTATCGACAGGAAGTACTGGATACAGCCATGGTGCCACATTTTGCACAACCTTGCCAATGGTCAGATATTCGTGGATGACAGCGCTAGGTTGTCTCGAGCCTTCATCGCCTTTCTAGAGAACAATGATACTGAGACATTTCCATGTCCGCACGAAGCCCCGATACAATCCCAATTGAATATCTTTTGGCCTGTCTTAGATGCAGTTCGCCCATCCTGCTCAAAATGAAGAATTGAGACAGGCACTGCATGAGGAATGGCAGAAGAATCAGCTGCTAATAATACAATACTTGATTGCCAGTATGGGGAGGAGACTGGCAGATGATATAAGAGGGATAGATGGCTACACCTGGTACTGATGTGGTCGCATGTGGTGGTTCATACAATCAGAACAACCATTGTTTAAAAAATGTGCGACAATCAGATTTGTAGGGTTGTCACTATGACCATCATTTCAATCATTGCTGATGTTCACGTTTGTGTGTATTCATCTCAGATTGCAAGTAAGTTGTTACCATGTTTCAATTTCAGCCTTGTTTTTGTAAAATCGGAGTAAAATGTATTACAGTTTCCATTTTAATCCGAGAAATCTGGTTTTCAAAGCATATACAACATGTAGCGTTTTCGCACTTATCTTTAGAAAGTGGGTTGTGCATGATTAATGCTCATGGATATATGTCAGTATGACGTTTAGCATGAAGTCCAAATTCAATATCGCAACCTGTCATTTGTATCATAATTGTCATAGGACCTGTAAGTAAAGATTATTGTGTCTCCATGACTATTCAATTTCTACTAACAGTTGTCATGAACATAAGTTTAGTTTATTTTGATCAACTTTCTGAAAACCTAAACTTCAGAACTTAATTATGCTAAAATGGTATTTTCTAAAGAAAACCTATTGAAAATGTTTTATCCGACATTTTAAAATCGAATTAGACGAAACATTTACTGAATTGCAATAATAAATGTTGTTTCTTACTATTAAACAATAAATGTGCGGATTAGTGATGTTTACTGGAATAAAATGACTGCTCCCTTGCGATAGACAAATCTGGATTATCTCCCTTACTTGCCCTTGAGTCACGAAGTTGGGGAACAATCACTTAGAGTTTATATTGTTTTAAGTTTCCAAAACTTCAGCTTATGTATGATTGTGCTCGAGCTCTTTTGCCACTTATAATATGTAGTTTCAGTGTCAATTTTGATCAGAAAAAATGAAAACATACTTATCTTTTGTCATAGATCTCCATATTGCACAAAGCTGTCTGCTACGCGCCATATTGGATAGAGGGAGCATTCATAGTTTTGGGAAGTAATATAATAATGTAAAGTTAAATATTTCTTCTCTTTTCATGTACCTGTAAATAATTAATATGAAATTATCAATGTTTTAATTATATAATTATGTGTTACTGCAAACTAGACTGTCTCGCAGTCCCTCGACCATTTGTTTCCCTCCCACTCAATCCTTTCTGTTATGCAAAACTGTTCGTAAAGCAAGTCTAGATTTTCGTTAGGCTAATTGCAATTTCCTGAATCTCTTGGCTTCAAATCAGCTGCTTCTTTATTGAAATTATATATTTTCAGAGACTAAGTGTCAGTCTGTCTGAAAACAACAGTCCCGTAAGGCGGGAAAACTCGTGACAAATATTGCGTCAGAGTCGTTCACACATGGAACCAGTTGTCGATTACACTCATGGCCGTCACAATGACCTTAGAACGACCTGTCCCACGCCCAGTCAAACTGTGATCGGAGTCATTGTTCATAGTGGAAACAATTATCCGCCTAACTTGGTTCATGAAAGCCTGCGTCTTTATTCCGTATAGGGGCGGCGGGGTAGCCTAGTGGCAGTGTATGAAGTAAGCCAAAACTCCAGCCAGACATCAGGGCTGGTAACTTCAAAATGTTACCAGCCCCAAATGGATTTTACCAGACCAAATATGGTGAATTTACACAGATACATGGAACATCTCAAATTTTTACCAGACCATCGGCCGGGCTGGCTGGCTGGCTGTAAATTTTAGACCGTCCGTCAGAAATCAAGACCGTCTCGGGTCGGACGGGCCTTATTTCATACACTGCTAGTGGTTAAAGCGTTCCCTCATCACGCCGAAGACCTGGGTACAATTTATGAATCCCATTTCTGGTGTCCCCGGCCGAGATATTGCTGGAATATTGCTAAAAGCGG